TTTACTTGAAAGAGTTAGAGAAGGAGAGGCAGAGAGAGAGAGGCAGAGAGAGAGAGGTCTTCCATCTGCTGGTTCATTCCCCAATTGGCCGCAACGGCTAGAGCTGCACTGATCCGGAGCCAGGAGCCAGGAGCCTCCTCTGGGTCTTGTGTGGGCGGGTGTAGGGGCCCAAGGACTTGGGCCATCTTCTACTGCTTTCCCAGGCCATAGCAGAGAGCTGGATCAGAAGTGAAGCAGCCGGGATATGAACCAGCACCCACATGGGATGCCAGCACTGCAGCAGAGGCTTTACCCACTATGCCATAGCACCGGCCCCAGGATAGGAAGTCTTAATCTCTTAGGTGATGATATTAATCTATACAATTAACATAATTAATTAACTAGAAATTTTAATTTCTACATTCAATGTATTTCCAAAGAAAATTAGACCAGGGTTTTATTTCCCAAGGAGTTTAAAAAGTTGATTCTAAAAGTCAGTCATAGAAGTCTAAACTAGACAAGATATTCCTATAACTCAGAAAGCTGAAAACAGATCTACCATTTGACCCAGCCATCCCACTCCTGGGAATTTAGCCAATGGAAATGAAATCAGCATATAAAAGAGTAATCTGTACCCCCATGGTTATTACAGCTTAATTCACAATAGCTAAGATATGAAATCAACCCAGATGTCTTAATTAATGAGCTCATATATATATGAGCATAATTTCTTTATATATTATATACATATATAATGTATATATGAGATATTCCATTGAGGAACAGTGTTTTGTTTGTTTTGTCTTTTTCTTCACACTATTTGTTGAACTCTTTTACTACGTGCAGGATTAACTATACAAATAATTAAGTAAACTGCAAATAGAACTCTGTATAAATTAAGAGTGGGAATGTGAAGGGGAGGAGGAAGGGATGGGGCATGGATGGCGAGGTGTCACTATGTTCCTAAATCTATCTATATATATACATGAAGTATGTGAAACTTGTACCACTTAAATAAAATTTAATAAAAGAAATGTTAAGTTTGTGTGAAATAGCAAGTATCAAAAGAGTAATTAAAGAATTATACACTTTGTGTGAAATCTAAAACAAGCAAAAATCAAACAATATATTGTTTGGATATATACACGTTCATGATAATATTTTAAAATAAACGAAAGGAGGGGTAGGCATTTGGCCAAGTGGTATAGCCACCTGCTAGGAAGCCCAGTCCCATACTGGAGCTCCTGGGTTTGAGTCTCAGATCCATGCCTAGTTCTAGTTCCCAGCTAATGCAGAGCCCAGGAGGCAGCAGAGATGGCTCAAGTACTTGGCTTCCTGCCACCCATACTGGAGACCTGGATTGAGTTCCTGGTTCTCAGCTTCAGACTGGCCCCATCCCAACTGTTATGGACACTTGGGGAGTAAACCAACAGATGAGAGAATTCTATCTATCTCACTCACCCTTTCTCTAAAATTAATAAGTAAAAATGTTTGTAAATAAAATAAAAACAAAAGGAATAAACACAAAATTCAGATGATGGGTCATCTCTGAGCATAGGAACCATAAGAGAAGAAAAGGGAGGGTCTAATAAATAGATATAATGGCACTAAGGACGACCTTTTTTCTACATCCCGTAACTGCCTATTATTATACTTAAAATTATACTTATATTACATATATTATCTATAAATTATGAATGTAGCAGAGCTTTATAAATCAAAGTTTAAGCCAAAGCCATTATGCAAGAAAAAGAAATCAAAGGGATAAAAATTGGAAAGGCAGAAGTCAAATTATCCTTTTCAGATGACATGATCAAAGGTTACCCACAAAAATAAATACAGGGGAATATCAAAAGATTCCATGAAGGCAATATTGGAGTTTATAAGAGAGTTTGGTAAAGTTGCTGGATATAAAATAACACTAAAAAATCAATAGCCTTTGTATACACAGACAATGCCACAGCTGAGAAAGAATTTCTAAGTCCAATCCCATCCACAATAACTACAAATATTTAAATATCTTGCAATAAATTTAACCAAGGAGGTGAAAGATCTATACAATGAAAATTATAAAACATTAAAGAATTAGAAGACACAATAAAATGGAAAAATTTTCCGTGTTTGTGCATTGGAAGAAGTAATATCATTAAAATATCTGTATTACTTACTGAAAGCAGTTTATAGATTCATTGTGATTCTAATCAAAATATCAACTTTATCCTCAGATCTAGAAAATGTGATGCTAATATTCATATGAAAACACTAGAGAACCTGAATAGATGAAGCAATATTATACAACAAGAACAAAGCTGGAGGCATCACTATACCAGATCTCAAGACATACTACAGGGCAGCTATAATCAAAACTGCATGGTAATGGTGCAGAATTAGACATAGATATGTGGGAGCCAGTGCTGTGGTGAAGCAGGCTAAGCCTCTGCCTGCGGCGCTGGCATCCCATTTGAGCACCAGTTAGAGTCCCAGCTGCTCCTCTTCTGATCCATCTCTCTGCTATGGCTGAGGAAAGCAGCAAAAGATGGTCCAAGTTCTTGGGCCCCTACACCAGTGTGGGAGACCCAGAAAAAGCTCCTGGCTCCTGGCTTCGGATTGGCTCAGGTCCGGCTGTTGGGGCTATTTGGAAAGTGAACAGTGAATGGAATATCTTTTTCTCTGTCTCTCCCTCTTTCTGCCTGTAACTCTACCTCCCAAATAAATAAAATCTTAAAAAAATACAAATGTAGGCCAATGGAACATAACACAAACCCTAGAAATTAATCCATGCATCTACAACCAACTAATCTTTGATAAACAAGCTGAAATCCATTCCTGGAGTAAGGACAGTCTCTTTCACTGGCCATCAGAGAAATGCAAATAAAGTCCACAATGAGGTTTCACCCTACCCCTGTTAGAACTGCTGTCATCCAAAAAATCAACAGACAATAAATGCTGGTGAGAATGAATCCACTAATGGTAGGAGAGCAAACGAGTACAGCCACTGTAGAAGACAGTATGGAGATTCCTCAGAAAGCTGAAAATAGATCATATGACCTAGCCTTCCCACTCCTGGAAATTTACCCAAAGGAAATGAAATAAGTATATAAAAGTTATAGAGTTATTTGTACCCCCATGTTTATTGCAGCTCAGTTTACAATAGCTACGATTTGGAATCAATCCATATGTCCATCAACTGATGACTAGGTAAAGAAAATGTGGTATACATACACTATGGAATACTACTCAGCCATAAGACAGGATAAATTCTGTCTTTTGCCACAAAATGATGCAAATGCTTAGTGAAATAAGCCAGTTCCAAAAAGACAAATATCATGTTTTCTCTGATATGTGACAGCTAATATAGAATACAAAAATGTCTAGGAATGAAATGGTCACTTTGGGAAATGATTGTCATTTTTAGTTCGTGTTTATACTGTTGTAGTACTATGGTGTTCCTACTTTTTGCTTGTTGAATATTATGATTAGTGATGAATTAAGCCTGTGAATACAGAATGGATTAAAATTATGTCCTTGCAAAAACTGATGAAGTTAGGGAAGGGAAGGAGAGGGACTGGAGGGGAGCAAGGGAATGAGAAAGTCTGGTTAGCTTCTTAGAATTATACCAGTGCAATGCATAAAATCTGTTCTCTTTATATTAATCAAAAAATTTAAAGGATTATTGATTCCTGCAAGATTAACTTTGTCATAATTGAAGTTGTCCAAAATCTAAGTGGGGACTTCTGAAGTGGAGGGATTGGTGGGAGGTTCAAGTAGCGATTAGCTTGTCACTAGAGTTATTCAAGCACAGATTAGAAGTCTTTCAGATTAATATCAATATTATAAAGTAAACTTAAACATTAATTGATTGATAAAGTTCCTTCTATATCCAAAAAACTATAATTCACTTGATTAAGTGTTGAGTAAATTAATTATTCACATGAGCCAAAATTATTAACAATATAAAGTCCATATACATCCTGACAATCTTCCAATCCTTGAATTAGAAATGCTCCCAGGAAAAGCCAGGGAATAGCTTCACCACCAAACTCAATTGCTTTCTGTTTTCCTCTTGATCTTTAAACCCATTCATTAAATGACGAGGTCAGGGAGAAGGAAGGAGAGATGGGTTAGATACATATTTTTAGCATTTTTATGAAAGTTGATTTTATGCAACTCATTATCTAAACATGGTATTAAAGCTAATTTTAGCAAGTAATAAGTTGTAGGCAGAATCTTTGAGAATAGCCTGCCTTTAAATCTTCATAGATTCTGTAGTTGAAAGTAGAAAGCTACTTTACTAAAATTGTTGCCAAATGTTCCTCAGATCCCTTACATAATACGAGTTCAGGAATGCCAACTAAAGTGCAAAGGTTACCTATAAAATAAATTAAAAGCACACATTAAATAAGTTCATGTGTGCCAACTCCAAAAGACAAGGTCCCTCTTCAGAGACTGGAAATGAATGGAGTCAGAAAGGATGTGCAGGAGGGGTTGCTGAAACATGCTCCAGTCCTTAGATCACTCAGCGTGGTCAGTCCTCTCGGCAGACAACAGTCAGAAGTGTCTCCCACCTTCAGAGATCAGCCCGTGGCTTGCTAACTCACCTACCTGTTTCTGACTCATACCATTCTAGATTATGAACTACAGTGAGAAAGAGGATCAGAGAAAGCAACCCAGTAGGTCTGGTTGTAAATCAGATGGGCTGTAGGAAGAAGTTGATGTTGAAGAAGGAAAACAAGTCCCATCCCTTCTATTTGTGCTGCATCACATTATGGGTTGTCTTTTTCTAAAAAAAAAACACTCTATTCTGATAAGAAAATGGTGACCAGCAAGAACTTCTGCAGTGAAGTAATGCAAACCATTCCACATACACTTCAAGGTTTCCGTTCCTTGGGTCAGGGTCTAAGAAATTCAAATTTGAAGTTTCTTGCAGTAGCTTATCTTGTCCTAGCAGTCACTGAATTTTGCTATTTGGCTGGAAGAGAAAAAAAAAAAAAAAAAAGGCATCCCTTGGTGCATCACGTGGCTCAATCAGTTCTCAAGGCAGAACTCTTCTCATAAGGGCACCGTGTGGCGTCTCTGAAATCCGTGCAAGTTTTCCTCTCCCAAGGCAGGGAGAACGCAGGTGCATGGAGAAATAAACATGGCCTTGCTCCTGGTGTCTCTGCTGGCATTCATGAGCTTGGGCTCCGGATGTCATCATCGGCTCTGTCACTGCTCTAACAGAGTTTTTCTCTGCCAAGAAAGCAAGGTGACAGAGATTCCCTCCGACCTCCCCAGGAATGCAGTCGAACTGTGAGTATCAGAGGGAGTGGGGACAGCTGTGGCTGCTGTTTGTATATTGAGAACTCTTAGTATTTTCATATTAGGTTGATATGTGTTGGCTGCAATATTTGTGTCTTGAAAGACAGTTTGAATAAAACAAACTCTCCCAGCCCAACATTCCTGTCCTATGGCTTTCCCAGGATCCTAGGTGAGAGTCTGTATCAGCATTTGTCGGGGAAGGGTACTGTGCAAGCTGAGTCCAAACGCACCAAAAGCAAAAGGCTTTCAGTCTTTTCAGCACATTTGCTCTTGGGTTCCATCCCAAGGAACCAGGAAAATCAAGGGAAAGCCAAGTGGAAATTTAGGAGACTTAGAATTGAAGGCAGGAAGACAGCCTTGATGGAAGCACAATGCACAGTGTGTGTCTCCTGTGGGCACTGAAGCCAAGAATGCCTCATAGCTTTGAAGGCACCAGCAAATAGTTCCTAAATTGACACTCTGCTTCCTGGGGCAGAAGAGAGGGCAAAAGGAGTGCAGAATATAAAGGAAGAAGGGAAGCTGAGGTGCAGAGAGAAGTATAGGATCATCTTTCACACAACTGGGGAAATGGGATTCTGACTTTAGATGTCTGTTAAACTATCTTAATAGAAAATAAACTCCTAGAACTTAGATATCATCTCATTTTCTCTCCTCATGTTACAGATTAGGAATATGAAGTCTAAACAGCATAGAACCTTGCCGAATTCTCCCAGTGAGCTGAGGCAGAGCTAAAACTGGAAATGAGGTGTCGGGACTGCCAGTCTACTGTGTTCCCCAAGCCCTCTGTGCCCGACCGCATCAGAGCAGCAGCGAGGTCGAGCTAATTGTCCAGTTACTACTTAACTGGCAACTCGTGACGCAGACACTGTAGAGATCTTTAGTGTTTTCATTCCAAGGATTTTAACCAGAAGTCACTATTCTGGATGCAGACATGTCTCAACCTTTGTGCCCTAGATCCATCCATGACTTTCACTGTCCTGCAGAAGGTGGTCACCTTTTCAGATCACCCGCTGCCATACCAGCACTCCAGCATGTTGGTATTGCATTTTAGATGTTCACTCAGGGACAGACGGTTATGTCTGGGTTAGTCCACTTGCCGCTTTGCCCCCTCAACACCTCAAGTCTTCATTTCCTATTCAGAGACAGCTGCAGAGTAGGGAAAATAACAGGTAGCTCTGTGTTTTGGCTATACCGCCTTGGACGAGACAGTTACTCCTGATTAAGCTGAAGAATGCGATTATGCACAGTCTGCCTTTGTTAAGTCATTATAAATACAGGCAGCCGATGGACCCGACCTCCTCTAAGAACTCACCCTAAATGAGGAAGAACTGTTACTTAAGCCCTCCTGAGTCACAGGTTTCTCACTTCCAAGATGGTTTTAGTACAATCTGCTTGGTCTGATAGCTGCAGGCACTGAAACTTCAGCCGTCTAACCCCACACTACTCCTGATTTCTACCTCTGCTGGACTTACCCCCACTTCTCCCAGGATCTCCCTTGGATCAAGCAGTGCCATCCAGTTGGTAAAGCCAACAGCCCCTCACAAAGTTTATTTTTTTGGATGATACTGCTCAACCCCTCAAAACTCCCTTCCACCTTAGGCCTCTCTGCTTTTTGAAACCTCCTCATCACAAGAAAAAGGTTTTTTATTTCACTCAATTTGCATAGAAATATAGGCAAAAAAGGGAGCAATAAAGGAAGGAAGGGGAGGGAGAGGGAGGAGAGGAAAGAGAAAGAGAGGAAGAGAGGGAGGGAGGAAGGGAGGCAGAGAGAGAGATGGAAGGAGGGGAAAGAACAGAGGGAGAGAGGAAGAAAGCAAAGAAGAAAAACCATTCCTATTTCCGAAGCCCCAGGGAGTGTACGTGTATGCATTAGAATGGGAGAAACATGAGGATGATTGTATTGCCATCATAATAAGCTGCAATAAACCAGAACACATCTTTTCCCAAGAGCATTTTGCAACTGAGGAAAGAGAGCCCCAGCACTGAGACATGAGGCAAAGAGACTGTGGGATAGAGTATGGTGGACAGAGCACCAGAAAGGAATTCCAGCCCTGAGAAAGCAGAGGGCTGCCTCAACCCCTTACTTAAATGTATGTAATAGAGGCCATTGCCATCCTTGCATAAAATTAAAAAGGGGAAAGAAACCGCTGCTAGTTATTGGCATTTCCCCTTGAGGAATGACAACTTTGGGAACTTGAAGTTTTTTCAGATTCCTAATGTGGAGAAGATTCTTGTTACTGTACACTTGTTCAGAAGACCTGACCTGGACCATCATACAGAAGGGTGTTGCAATCTAATCTTCTTGGCAAGGTGTATTGAGGAAAAGAAGAGACTATTTGATGACTTAAAAAGGAAAGTTATTTAAGGGTATATTTTAGGTTGTGTGTTAATCACCAAAGTACAAATCAAATATGAAATGAATGAGAATTCAAATATTCTGCTAGAATGAAAGAGCAAATATTTTCCTTCCTTACAATGTATGGATCAAAGTTATCTGGAAAATTGGTAGAAGGAAGGTGAAATAACTTTTTCAATCTAGCATTTCTAATTCACCATGCAGTCTTTCAAGTTTGGGTATTGACTTAAATGATGATCACATCAGGTGTAGGTGGATGAAACAGCTAGGTTTCATTGACTGCAATTGCTTAATCCATCAACATGTCAAAGCTTCATTGTTACTCAGGCTCACCTGGGGGGAAACGACTCATGTTTCATCATGTATATTTTTATCCTATTATTCCATCCCCCTTGCAACAATGTCATTTCATTTCATATATGAGTATCATATATCATTTCATATGAGTATATGACATATGACAACTATCACCAAAGATGGCTAATTCCCTATGATCTGCACGTGCAGATATGAATGGCAAAGGAACACAGAAGCATCATCAACAGGCAGTTAGATTCCCTTTAGTAAGGATGTTACTATTTGCCTTACGCTTTATCCACACTACTTCATTAAAACTTCTCAGTAGAGCCACAGCTCTGGTGCTAGTGTTCCATTTTTCAAATTAGACAAACTAAAACACAGAAAAGTTTTAAATGCTTGGGTGAAGTCACCCCTGCAGTTCCTGGGTCACAGAGCTGGGGTCTGTATGTGGGGACTTCAAATAGTTCATGGAAAAAATGGAATTAAAGGATTTTTGTTTGGCACAAAAAAAATAATATAATCCATTACATTCACTTTCCATGAAATTTTTGAAGACTTCTTATATGCATGGACCTCAAAATTTTTGTACCAAAATTATTTTTAATTCTATTTTTCTATGAGATTTTTGCAATGCCCTCATAGCTCCTCTATGTTGTATAGAATGAACACTTTGATTCCTTTCCTTTATTCTTTAAAAATAACATCCTTTATTCCTTATGGACTTTATAGTTTATTTTGCAACTACTAACCTTTCTCATAGTAGCAGGAAAGCAGTCATAGACATAAGGGAAATAAATGAGCATGGACGTGTTCCAATAAAACTGACTCTGAAATGTATATAGTTTTCACATCACACAAATTATCCTATTGATTTTTTTCAATTGTATAAAATGGTGAAAAGTATTCTTAGTTTATAGGACATAGAAAATGTGGAACAAGCCAGATAGAATCCATAAGGTATATAGTGTCCTCTTGCGATTTAGACTATAGCTAAGGGAGTGAGTTAAGTGTAACTGGTTATGCAGCCTAAAAGGACTTGGCAGCATGGGACAAGTGCTAGACAGGGTGAACGGGGACAGGAGGGGCACTTGTGAGGTGGTGGTTACAGACCAGACATGAACAGGCTCTGACAAGTCAGAGATGGTAGAGTACAGCGTCCAGACTCAGAGACCCAATTTCAAACCTGGACTGTGCCATTGTATTTTAGCTGTGTTCTCTGGATTCTTGATTGTATGATGGAAATTACAACTCACAATACCTCTGCTGTGGGAACTAACGGACTAAATGAGACAATGTAAGCAAAATATTTAACCCGGTATCTCTCACGTTGTTATTGTTGGTGATGATTTGACAATGGTGACATTGTTCTCTCTGCACAATGCCAGGCAAAAACACTATAGTGAACTTTCCTGAAGAGTGAATCAGTCAGCAGCTCTGAAAATGCTTCAGAAAACTGATGAAACAATTTGTGTACCTCAAGATAGTTTCTCAATCTCCCACTCATTTTGTCTTCTTCCCCCAGGGGCCGTGGCACTTCATCTCCACTCACTTTCTGGGTAGGAAAATATACACTTAAGGCTGTCAGGATTTGCCAGGGGATCAATTCATTCCGACCATTGTCAGAGGAATTTTTATTTCCCACTTGTCCCAGAAACTCAGCTTCAGTGCAGACATTGACATACTCCAGAAAGGTCCCTTTGATCTTGCTTTATTCCTCCTGGAGCTGGAATTCCTAAGGAGAATGCAAACACCTGAGCTAAGTCTTCAGGTTTACTAGTTGCAGTATCTAAGTGACACTGTATCTAAGTGACAGCCTTTCTTCAGCAGATAAGATGACCATAATAGTAAAGAGGGGTCCACTGGTGACCAACATGGATTAGGGAGACCAGACTGAGGTTACATTACAGGCTGCCTCTGTGGAACCTTCTTGTCACAAGTTCCTGTTCATCACTGCAATTTCATTTGCCTAATCTAGAACTTACTTTTAATTATCTAAGTATTTTTCCCTTTTCATTTTCTTTCTTTGCCTTATTTTCCTTATTTCATTGTCTCACTTTACATCATTCTCCATACCCTGTAAAGCACGTCTAGTGTAGTCTTTGCTCAGCAAGCCCTTGGTTCTGAGGAGTATTTCAGTGTTCTATGCAAAAAGGAAAGCATTTGCTCTGCTAGTAAATTCTGTCATCTCCAGGAGTGAGAAAGATACACACACACAAACACACACACACACACACACACACTGGATTATAAAGCTACTACAACTACTACTAACTTCCTAATCTGTTATCATTGGTTGTTTCATCCTCCCCTTCATGTAGGTTTCAAACTTTCCCAA